GTCCTCCTTGGCACTGCAGAGGTTCCCACACGGTGCCTGTCTACCTGCCCCAGACAGGGAGACGAGACTGATGGGCCCCACCAGGCTGCCCTTGCTGGCACCGCACTGCCAAGGGGAGACAGAGCAAACCAAGAAAAGGGAAAGGCAAAGCCTTGCAGCTGTCCTGGGACCAACACTGAGAAATGTCCATCCTTTGCCCAGCACATTGTTCTGAGGAACCTGAGCTGTCTCCATGGGGCTTTCCAGCATCTGCTTCAGGGCAGGGACCTTGTGCCATAGCAGCACCTGGAAATGCCAGCCGGGTCACAGTCCCCAGAGCTGATGGGCACTCGGTCACAGCTGAGGATGCTGCCAACAGCAGCCGAGGTGGAGGATCCCAGCCCGGTGTTCTGTGGGAAGGAGCTGAGCATGGGGCCGGGCAGGGTCACCAGCACGGGGGAGGGCTCAGTGCCGACGGTGGAGTCCTGGCACTGCCTGGCACAGGGCTCATTGCAGCTGTTGGTCAGCGGGGTGGGACCGCAGGGCCTGCATGGCCAGCACGGGCTGTAGCAGGACACGGCTCCAAGTGAAAAGTGCACCTGGCAGAGGGAGCAGACAAGAAGCAGAGAGCACAGGGGTGAATGAGAGCAACCAAGGTCACAGCTGAGTTGGGAGCTGGAGCCGCGGCAAGGAGCTTTCTTCCTTGCCCTGCAAATAGCAGCCTGGCCCAGGGAGACTCTCTCCTAATTCCTTAAGCATGGGTCCCTGTAGCTACACTGCAGCTTTTTTCTATTACACAATGTCACCCAAATATCTTTGGCATGAGAGTAGACTGAGCATAGAAGAAAACAACCTCCGCTGGGATATTTGCTATGTGGATCATTTTGTAAGGGAAAGAGAAAGGGAAGGGGCATCAGACTCACCTGGTTTCCAGACTCAGAAGGAGCCTGGTGTGGTTGAGCAATGACGTAGCAGCATGCAGATTTGCCCAGGGAAGAGGCACTGACATGCACTCCCTGCTTCCTGAGCCCTCCTTTTCCAGCAGGTCGGAACATCAACTTTTGCTCCAGCCAATTTCCAGTCCCAACAAGGATTGTTTCACCCAGATTTGGCGTTTTAGTTTAATTCTATTTAAAGTGTTGGGAGTGCCTCAGCATGGCAGCAAGCGCTCACACACATACAGACACATGGACACTCAGACACACGGACCGGGACCAGTCTCTCCACGCCAATGCACAGCTGCTCTTCCCTGCCCTGCATCAGTTTGGTTTTATGGATACAGAGAAAGGCTGAGGCTTTATGCCCAGCTCCTCTATCCATGCGAGTGGGAGTTTCTTTCCCGTGCCCTGCAGGATAATTCGGGAATGCCCAACATGACAGCAAAGGGGAGATGTGAGTGAACAGATGATGGGAGCGAAGGAA